TTCCGAAGCATTCTTGGTAGCACACACCTAGAAAAACATCCTCTGGGTGAAGGCCAGGCAGGCCACTCCACTCCAGTAACAGCCGGGGCCCAGTCAAGACCCTCTTTTCTTTTTTTTTTGCCAAAAAAAAACAGGGGGGGGGGACCCTGGAGGAAAAAAATCAAATCTCTGTGGGGAGGTCAGGGTACGACTGTACTGCTCCACGTTTGGTTTCACCTTCTTGTTTACCATCGGACAGAGTTGAGCTGTTGTGTGCTGGTTGTTCTGGGGATCAGGAGTGGAGATCACAGGCGTTCTGATGGGAGAGAACGATATCAGGATCATTATTTCAGGGACTCCATTTAAAGAATCTGTCCAGGGTTCACAGATTTAATCTGTTCATTATTATTAGCATTCATTTTAAAGGATATGATAGGTTTCATATTATTTAACATTCACTCACATTCTCATATGCTACATGACAGGATGGAAAGGTAACTATTTACTGAAGCAATACTTTACTTGGAGGTATCTCCATTTACAATACTTCTGCTCTACATACACTGACTACAGATTAAGAGGTTTACATAAAAAACAACATACAATGAGCTAATAAAATACACACATTGTTACGATTAAAACCAATGGGGTCCCAACAGTAGTCCTTATCCTAGTCCTTGGGTTTCTCTTCACATTTCAGACGTGGGTCTGACATGGTTATAATTCCATCCTTCTAAAAAGGCATTCTCACCATTGTTTAATTATTGCTGGCCTGCAAAGCACACTACTATTATTCCTCATACTTAATAAACTTAATAAACTTAAAACTTAAACTTTTATTTATTTCTTCCGTACGTTTTTCGGGCGCGCCTACTCCTCCCGCAGTTTTGTCGCACATACACAAAAGGTAACCCAAAACGGTTTGCGGGCTCGGGGTGGAGGACATTAGTGCTATGACTTTTCTAAGCGTTTTCGCCAAACGGATTGGGGCGGGATAAATCGCCAAAAACCGGCCCAAAAAATGAAATGGGTGTGTTATTGGAAGAATGTTCAACTGACAATAACGCCGTTTCATTTAGGGAGTGGGAGCGGGGAGAGGGAAAAATACATTTGTAAACTGCCTCTCAAAGCCACAAATGTCACTTTTACAGAAAATTTATAGATAGAAACGTAGCGCTACATTTGCGTTGGGGTCGCAGGTGATTACCACTGGCTGAAGGCTGTCACGGCCAATGGTTAGGGGGGAGGCTAAGCTGGTAGGCTAAAGGATAATCTTAGAAGGTGGCTAACCAAGCAACAATTTAAAGCTTGAATGTATTAATATTAACACACAATAAGTGCAATGCACTTAAAATGTTTTTACCTAGCTATGAGCTGTTTCCTTAATTGTACATTAGCACTCCTTCCAGGGCATAATAACAATTAACACATTAACCAAAGCTAGCCCTTAGCTGTGATTAGACTTAGCCTAGTGATTAGCTCACTAAGGCTTAAGAAAAATAAAGTACTTACACCAGGATTAAAATCTCTTCTGCTCTGTGACAGGGCCTTGACATTATGATGTCAGGCTTGTGATGGGAAAATCCTCAGGTGACCAGTATGCCCTCCTTGCTAATTGGTAGATGAAGGCTCCTTTGTATTTCTCATTTGCAATGGCTGCAACCAGGAAGCAGAATCTGCTGTTTTTTGTCAAGACTTTGGAAATATCATGGAAAGCTTTGGCTTTTTTTCTCATGTTGGTTAAAACTTCATCTGAGTAGTACCACGGGACTTCATTGGTACTTTCTAACAGAGGATTATCCAAGTGTTTGTCCATCTCATCCAGGACGGGGTCAGCAGTCTCCAGGGAGGTGAAAACGAAGCACAGAGCATCCTCTACACCTGAAGCAAGAACCCTCCTCTTGTCCAGGCTCCCCTGACTGATTCCGGGATGATCTTATGTTCCCGCTCGCATCCTTTCTACACAGGACGTTGATTTCTCTCTCTTTATGATCAAGCCAGTTGCTTAGTTTCTCACGACTGAATGGTGACATGTCTCTTTCTTCAAAGAGTTCTTCTAATTTGCTCTCATTTGTTTCACCTTCACGGATGAGGGGAAGTTGATCCGCCATGGTCTGCTGGAGGCTAGCTGCATACTGATTACACAATTCTTTGAAAGTGGTTAGATGCTTGCAAATCTGTGGAAAATCCTTTCCTACACTGTCGGCCAGAGAATCGTTGCATCTCATTACTATCTGCCTTAAATCCTCTAGAGCGTTCTCCGCCTTCCTCACTACTCCAACACTGACGCTCTTAAACTCAGCAGCTTCGAGATACAAACTCTTCAACGGCATCAGCCAGACCTTCAGTGCAACACCATTCCCTTCCTGTTGCAGCAGCTTTGGAAGTTCTGCATAGGCATGCACTGCCTCTTCAAATGTTGCAGGGTTGCTTTTAAGAATTAAGTCTCCGTAGAATTTGCAGGAGAATTTGTTGGTCAGGGCTTTTTCTTCATCAGTCAGCTTGATGTCAACTTTCCCCTCAACATCAAATGCAGGGATGTTATTTATCACAGCTTCCATGCCGCCCTGGATGTTCTGAACGCTGCTGGCTTCTAACTTCTCACTGTCAAACACAAAGAAAGCATCTGCCCCATAAAGGATGCCTGTGACTACATGTGTTGCGGAGCCCTCCTTTATAAGATCTTTCTGTTGGGTGTCCATGGTTTTAAGGTCAATCAATGACAACTCCTTGAAGGTGGTGGTAGTGTTGTACTGAAGTGTCACCCTGCTCTGATTCTTGTATTTCTTCGTATCATTCAGATATTTGGCAGATCCTCCAACTTTAATCAGTCCACCCAGGAAACTGGCCTTCAGAGAAGCATCAATATCCAGCAGAGAGGACTTGGATTCAATGGAGTCAGATGCAGAAATTTGAAATGAACTGCTGTGCTGAGAGATTTCAACTGTTTTCTCTTGTAGAGTTTTTTGATCCCACAGAGTCAAACCTAAAGAAATCATCAAACATGAGTCATCTGATAAAGCAGGGAAACCACTGTGTTAATATAAAGACACATAAAGTTATATCATATTTGGATTTCTTCACCTGTAGCTTCTTATCCTGTCAGCAGTTCCTTAAACAGCTGCTATATTTATTTCTTTGACATGATACTAATTATAGGTTTGAGGCTGTATCAATAATAAACTTGCTGTATGTGCATGTAGATTAAATAGGAACTATTTGAAAATGTTTATACAGTTATAGATGTTAGTATGCAAGAGTATTTTGACAATCAACATTATATTCTCTCCAATGTTGCCTGTTTAAATATGCGGCTATTAAATTCAAATTAAAAGGCATTGAAAAGAGCTCAGTTGGTAGAGCTGTACGGAATTACTGCAGCGGCCAGGGTTCGATGTGTCATCCCCTCTCTCTCTGCTCCCCTTTCCTGTCTATCTTCGGCTGTCATTAGGCAATAAAAAGGCAAAAAAAAAAGAAAAGAAAAACTGAACAGAAAAAGTAAATGTTGGCATTGAAACACTTACACAAAGTTCTATATTGTATGTCATTAAAGAATAATACAATAATTTATAATATTTTATATTATGTTTAATAAATCAATATTATAACAAATCAGATCATTACATTTAACTTATATTAACTATATTCTGATCCTAATCTTCTGTTTTTTTTCTTTTTTGTCTGTTTTCATCAACCTTTCCAGTGGCACCAGTTTTCAGTTTCAACTTTTTGTCACCGTTTTGGTGTTGAGAGGAGGGGTTTGAGGGGAGGGGCAAGGAGGGAGTGATTTACATATCTGCATGCTAATGAGACTTTAGTCCACCTCTGAACCAGAGAGCAGCTGCTCTGTAGCCTCCGATCAAACACACAGTTAGCATACAGCAATGGCTTCAAGGAGTTCACCTGAAACTCCCAAAACCTCAAGTATGAGTTTATTTCTCACTGTTGTTGGTTTTTAACATAGAACTGGGCTGGATTAAAGTTAACTTTTAACATTATGCTGGTCTGTGCTTTATTCAGTTGAAGTGTTTCAATGGCAATGTTTACTTTTTTTTCATTTCAGGTTTTGTTTTTAATGCCAGATTTTATTTTCAAAGCCAAAATTATAAAGCAGATATTTCACTGTGTGTGTGTTTGGTCTTGCAAACAAGGCATTGAGTATGAGAGCACAGTCAAAAATTACAACAAAACCTTCACATTAGTCTTCCACTAATAGAGCAAAGCCTGCGAGCTAGTTCAGGCAGGTCAACTCGAGTCGCGCTGATATACACACATGACATGCCTCACTCCATAATCACTAACCAAGCGCACCCTTCCAATCTGGCGGTCTATTTAAACTGCACTATTTCAGCCCAATTTCGCAGCTGCTCCCTCCCTGCCTCTGTCCCGAAATGCGCGCTGTTGGCGCACGAGGCGCCAACCAGTGCGTATTGCTCGCTGGGGTGCTGCGGCTGTAAGGCTTATTGGCTGCCTGGCTGGCTCTGTTAAGCCCCAACCCGCAGCCCGACCCGCCAGGCACGCAACGCTGTAGGCTCCGACTGGGGTTAAGGTATTTGCGCCAGTCATTCCCTGCAATATGTTTCCTAGGAGATATTGGGGGACCCTCCAATGAGGTCGGAGCCCCTAGAGCCCAAAAGCTAAATAGTGCTGTAACATGGCTTAATAAACAGATTACAAACCGTGAGTGGGGCCCCCTGCACTGAAAGAATCGTCACATCCGCTTGATTTCCTTTAGCCGGGGCAGCCAAAAATCAACATTGTTCCCATCAGTACAGTACCATCAAAGGTCATCACCAGTCAGGGCTGAAATTTCTGCTAGAATCAGTGGCTTATAATGCAGAGGCAAAAAAAATAATTTAATATGTCAACAACTTCCTGGGATCAGTTCATGCTTTCCGAGCCATCCAATGAAAGGGCATTCCTAGGGTGAAAGGGGTCCGACCCAGGGGCAGCAACCACGCCGCAATTCGATCAGAAGGCCATTTCCCAAAACCTGTTAAGAAAAAATTAAAGAAATAGGAAAAGCTTACGAACTGCCACACGTTGGAATACAAAATAACAGGCAACACAGGGAGAGACATATGTATCCGCAATAGTCGACAGAACAGGAATGGTTGGAGATGTGCTGATGTTAAGCTTCGCACAGTTGAGCAGACAAATAGCCAGAAGGTACGAAAAGAAAATTTATTATCTATGCTGTGAGTTTTGGCTGCCTGATTGTCTGAAACCAAGGAAGGCAATAGATTAAATGCCAAGGCCGGTGGGAATGTTCCAGACCCGTGAATTGATTCTGTCCCTTCCTTACGGCAGCAAATTTGTTGTACCAGCTTCAGGTTATTGATAAGAGTTTTCCGTTATTGAGGG